GACATAAAAAAGCAAACTCTTTGATATTGGAAAACATGAATTTATAGAAAAATTAAGATCTATTGCCTGTAACAACTTGATTTACTTTATCAGTAAAGTTAAGTTTGAGCAGCTTACATACAGAGTTTGTCTAAAACATCTTTTTTCAAAAAGTAGGTGCATAAATTTATAAAAACCTTGTCTAGTGATTCGGTAAGAAACCATTGGATTGTCAATTTGAAAAATGAACAAGAAATCATTTAATAACAGCAATTTCCTCAAAACAAGTTACAGCAGAATGGTAAAATCTTCCACAGCTATACGAAGACAATTTAAACTAGTGTTTTGTTCAGTCTTTTCGGATACTTTGATTGAGGTAAGCCTAATGTAAATCAAGGATGGTCCTATTGTATCTGGAGATCACAGAATGGCAAGGATGGCAAAGAACATAAGTCTGCACTACCAATACCGATTACTGACACTAAATTTAACAGCATTGTCAGAAAAAAGACAAAGAGGAGATCTTATTCAATTATTTAAAATTTTAATTAAAAAAGTAGAACTTTTAAACAAACAAACTTTTTTCAAAATCACGCATAGATCACAATAATAAATACAGTAGAGACCAGAGCAATTCATTATAAACAACTGTTTATAATGAGTTCGTCTTACTAAAGTTAGACGAGTTCATTATAATGACGAGGTCTAACGAAAATTGTGTATAATTGCTTGACATGATGCTGATCTAAATGGATAAAGATGTTTTTTATCATCCCCATTATTGCAATTTGCTTTTTACCGTTACGTAATTTCTTTTTACCGAAATGCATAACCACACATTTACTCTCGTTCAGTTTGATTAGCCATTTTTCTGACCACTCTTCTATATTATTTAAATCTCTTTGAATTAATTTTGCGTCCTCCATTGAATTTACTGTTGACAAGATTTTAGTGTCATCTGCATATATTTTTACAGTGCTTTTTATTTTCTCTGGTATGTTATTGATTTATGCTACAAAAAAGAATGGCCCTAAAATGAATCACTGTGAAACACCTCTTAGTACGTTTTTCCATGTTGACAATTCTTAACCTTGAACCACTCTTTGTATTCTATTATTCAAAAACGCATCAATCTAGCTTAAAAAGTTTTCTTTTATTTGAGGTAGGTTACTTCTGTTGCAAGACGATTATAAGGTTATCGCTAAACATGGATTTCTCTTGTGTTTGTGTTTTTGCATTAACATCAACTTTTGGTATATATAAATTACTCAGATGGTTTATGTTTAACATATAGTAGCGTACATTTGCTGTTTTATGATTTATAAAAACTGAAGTTTCAGTCAATTGAGTAAATTTTTTCGTTTATTTTTGTATAGTCCCATCTGGTGTAGTCAAATTTATATTTTGGTGTTTTGCTACTCTGTTTAATGTTTCGTTTAAATTTAAATTTCAATACTAAGTGCCCCTTGTTTGCCCCAAAACTTCCTGTGATTATAGCTCATATATTCTGTTACTATCGTTGGTAAATATCAAGTCTAGTGTGTTTTTTTTTTAGATATTTGTTAGTACTGCTCAGTTCTTTTTTCGTTCTCAACATTACATTTAAACTTGACAAGTCTGATTCCATGTATCACATATCGAACGGGAGCAACTGGTTTTCTTAATGCATTTTTTGTGTTTCTTATATAGTTAAATATTTGACTAACATGTTTCTCAGTTTTTGCTTGTTTTTCCTCATCGGTCCCAGTAAATTTTGCTGTGATACCCATTATGATTGTTGTTTTTTCTTTTATATTTATTTTGAAGATTATGGACGAATTTATCCGCATTCTATTTTTAAACTATTGTCATTATAGACATCATGTTTATAATGACAATAGTTTTTTAAATTTATTTAGAATTTTATAAAGATTTTGTTCACATATTTCAGCGGTTAAGAAGACTCAGTAGTTTGATGGATGCAAGTAGTACACAACATATCAAGAAGAAAAAATTAATAAATGAATTTAAAAGCTTTTGTTAAAAAAGTTTTGATTTTACCGACATCTGTTCTCTGTGACAAGATCTGATCGTTTTCTTGGAGTTTCCGCGTTCTTTTTACTTTATTTCTCAATCTTTATATTTTTAACAACACCTTCTTTAGTAACTTTTATTTTTTTATTTGTATCTTTATCTTTTCTTATATTCTAATAATAAAGAATCGTAGATCTTTTTTTTTTTTTTGTTTTTTTTTTCTGTATTGAGATTTTTTTCACATAGTAACTATTTTTAAAATATTGAATAAAAGCGAATTCAAAAATATATAAGGTTGTAATTGTGTTGTGGTTGCGGTTGTGACTTTTTTATGCTGAAGATAAAAAACGTATCCGTTAATCTTCTGGTGTTTATAAATATATAGGGTAGAGCGCGGCTAGTTGAGCTTAGGAGTAAGTTTTGCAATTAAAATATCTCAAAACTACACGTAACATGACAAAACATCTAATCGATGAAAGTTAGAGAATCAGAATGTTAACAAAACGCGCAACAAAAGATTGTAGAAAAGCAGTTAAGTGAGGTACACGGGCACTTTTTTAATTTTGGAACAAAAAAGGAAAAAAGTTTTAACTATTTTTCTCTCGTATGCTTATAAATTTTTTTATCTACCATTACTTAAGTTTTGATATTTTACCAGTTTATCGGAATTTCGATTAAATTTAGTCGTTTATTCCTAAGTTTTATCGTTCTCTTTAAAACCTAACTAATGTGTCACCTTGTCTAGTAGAAGTAAGTTGAGCAGTTTTGAAAAAATGAAATAACACTGAACTATCGAACACAACTTTGTTAAGAAATAATTTAGCGGTACATTGACTACATATATTTTTAAAATTAGTAATTTTTTAATCGGGCTTCAAGATAGTTATATAAAATAATATGTTTATATTTTATGACATTTTCTTACTATTCAATTTTTTCTCTTCTCTTACATGCGTCACTAAAGTGCATAAAATAAAATTTTTATGAATTATACACACGCTTACTATTAATGAAAGTTTCACCCAAGTTTCGTCCTATACATCTTCATTTATTTGTTGATTGCTCAACTTACCTCATACTATTGCAACTTACCTTCTGGGGCAAACTGAGCAGCCCCGCAAACTATAGGAATATCTTTTTAAAAAAATCAAAAACTTTAAAAAAAACAAAAAATTATCTTTCAAATATTAAAAAAAAATTATGGAAATCCGACGCACCGCTCGGATTTACATAATTTTTACTAAATCTAACTTGCTTGTGAAACAATATTTACTAAATCTAACGGTCTGTTAGATTTAGTAAATATTGCTACACAAGCACCCGCTCTACCCTACTAGAGTTTTACAACAGAAAAGAAATATCTCGAGAGACACCGGCTTTGAAAAATATTTTACAAATTGATGGTATAAAAAATAAAAATAAAAACGCTACTTGTTACTCAAATTAAGAAAATGTTATGCACTGTATGCAGAGAAATTGGTATCAAATTAAAATTTTTCGAATTTTAAGCAATTCGACCAGCTCAAATACTCACATATTAAGAGACGCCTCTAGCAAACTGCTGTTTCCTAATTCATCGAAATTTTATAAATATATGTAATGCTTCAAACACAAAAAGTAATCTGGAACCTTAAAACACAAACTTGGTAAAAAAATTCTTTGCAGCTCCTTGCCTCACTCACTTGCCTTTTTTGCCTCTTAATCTTATGTTAAAAATAAATCTCATGTTGTTTATGCGCCAATTGTCTTATTAATCAAATGTTGCCGCTTTCTGAGGAGCAAAACGGTATCAAAACAGTATCAAATCAGTAACAAAAATGTGGCACAAAAACAAGGTTACAAGTTGTATACACACTAAAAAATTAATTATGCCGTCTCTATATACCAAATACCCAAAGGGTGTATCATATCCTAACTTTAGGATATATCCCATATCCAATCCTTTTAAGGTAGAAAACTATACCTTAAAGATTGAAAATTGTACCAAAAATAATCATATGTGGGGTACTTTGCTACCTTAACATAATTACAAAATTACATAATTTTTTACCTTAAATGATATATTTTTCTACCTTAAGGGGTAGGATATGTGATATACCCTAAAGGTAGGATATGTTATTTACCCTTGAGGTTTTCTTAACCTTTTATTTAGTGTGCACAACATGGTTTGACCAAACAGTCTTTGTATGCGATATATACAGAGTTTTGAAAATGCTACATTAATTTCAGGTTCACCATTTAATTAAAAGTCACCAAGCATTTGTTTATTGTCACCAAATAAATGATATTATGGATACTGAACAAATAATACAGTTTAATTTTAGCCAAAACTATAATTAACTATAGCTATACTAAAACTATTGCTGTATTCATCAAGAACATGTTTAAAGTGCTTATTGGAGACAATCTCAAATAACAACCTTCACTGTTGCAATTAACGATAAATATTTTACAAGTATGGTTGTTTATATTACAGATAAAAATAATAACAGCCAAACATACGCAAAAAAAATGCGCATAGTAAAGTTTTGTAGTGATATTGACAATTCTAAAGGAGTTTCACCATTAAATGTTTTTTTAAATCTTCACAATTTAAAAAACATTTAATGGTGAAACTCCTTTAGTATTGTCAATATTAATATTTTAACTTTTATGTAAGTTTTTCTATAGCTTACGGAAAAAAAATGGTTAAATGGGTAGGAATAAGATTGTAAAAGATAACAAGGAAAAAGTTAGAGGAAGACAATATTACAATATTTTAGCCAGTGAATAAAAAAAAATCTTCTTTTATATTTATAGTTTTACATTTAAACTGAATGTATATTTTTTGTAGTTCTTCATTCATATTCAAAAAAGGTTGGAAAATTTCATTATTAAAAAGCAATAAGCTGGTATTATCTGCATTCTATGATACTTAATAGATATGAGGTAACGATTTGCCTGCTAAAGCCCTATCCCTCAGTACATGATAAACACTTTTTTTTTATTTTTATAGCTTTTTATTTTAGGTGCCCCAAGAAGTCCTTATGGTCTTATTATCATAGAACACCGCAGAAGAGCATTTGAAAAGAAGTTAACGCCTCCTTCCTTACCGATGTTAATAACTTGCCAAAAGGTGGCGGATCTCTAGCTTCTGAGGCAAGCGCGCTAACCACTGTGCTACTGCTACTTACACTCCATAGCACCTACCACTATTTAAACCAGTTGATGTATGTCACTCCACTGTAACCACAGCAATATCTGCAGCTATATTTACGTACGCATTGATGTACTTATTTTATGTAACTTTGAAAAATAAAAATAGATAATACACTTGATACATAATAGTATGAGATTATTTAGGTAAACCAAAAACAAAATTGACCCTAAATCAAACCTTGCGGAACACTACATAAAATACTTTTATATTATAGCCATTGCAAAAAACAAATTATTTTAAGTTTGATTTTTGTAATGAAGCAAAACATTGTGATCAAACGCAAAAATACGTAAATTAAGAACTTTCAAAAAAATTGATGATTTTGCGTACAAACTGAAAAATTGCATGTTCAGTTGATTTGCATATTTTTATATTCAAATTATTTTTGTATAATTGAAATAATGGTACATTTTATTGTACCTAATTTTTTTTAACGATTTGTGGAGATAGAAATTACTTATGTTAGACCTGTCACCTTTAAAGATTGAAAAAAATTCAATAATCCTTAATTAATCAGGAAAGATCAATCAATTGTTTCAAAAGTTTGAATGAAATGTCTTAACTGTTCATAGTACTATTTAAGTATTACCAATAATTTATTTGGCTCCTAAAGCTTTGTCGTTTTCTTTTATTAAGACTTTTTAAAACGCTTCTATCAATATTTTGAAATATAACCAATTAGAACAAATGCAATTATCTATTGGTAGTTAAAAATTGTTACGTATAAATTTAATGGAAGAAACCTCATTAGCGAGTTTTCGACCAATTTTGGTAAAAAAAAATTTTAACTCATGATCAACAACAATAGTTTCGTTGTGGCTTTTGTTATCAACTTTAGGGTATGAACACCTAAAATTATTTTATTGTTAGGACATTTAAATGATACTTGGGTATTGTAGCAAAATAAAGTAATTTTCTTTATAATTTAGGTTTAAACTTTTTTTTTTTACATTATAAATACGTTAATCTATGATTATTCACTTTTTTTAAATAGGGGAAAGTCGGGTAGCCCCAGACGGGGGGTAACTCCGGACACTTGATGAACAGCTTAAACTAAAGAAGCTATTTTGTTTTAAATACTATAAAAACATTACTTGATTGAAAATATGACATATGCAAAATATATATCTTAATATGCCAAAGCGATTGATTGGGAGTGTAAGATATTGTTTCCCACCACTAGAAAAGTCACGTATCATCATATATGATTCATATATTAGCATACCTAATTTTTAGGTAAACTTATAAATTTTTATTGATTAAAAATACATCTTCATTTACAATAGTTATTAAAAAAAAAAATTCGTTTAAAACTGTAATTCATTGGTTTTAAAACTGAGGTACGATTGGGTGATATCGAATACATGTTTAGAAGGTGGTTCCGTACAACTTAATTCGTTTACATATTAAAAATGAGCAACTTTTATGTATTACATTTATTATAATACACAAATCTATAATTGCAATTAATTTAATTCCAATAAAAAGACCTTAGATTTGAAAAAAGTGTTTTTAAAGTGATTATTTTCATTAGTAAAAAGCTAACGCTTATATTTCTAAATGATGGCATTTTTATTCCCATTCCATATATACCAGAGGCAATTTTTATAAGCGATTTTTTTTTTAATGTGTTAAGAACAGTCAAATGCTAAATTTTACACATTATATATTATGTTTGTGTAACACTGGTAAAATAAAGAGGTAAAACTGTGGTTAAACTATGTGTTCGGGGCTACCCTCCAATTTTGAAACATGCCTTTTTTCTAACATTTTTTCTTTTATGTTTTGTTATAATTAAGGTACACAATAATTATTTTTTTGTATCTAATTCGATAGATAAATGTTTCTAAAAAAGAAATGTTTTTAAAAAAGTTTTTTGACTGTTTGTTTTTTAATACATGTGTGCAAACTATTATTTCCCTAAGTGTCCAGGACTTCCCCCTTTTTTACCTTTTTCGAAAATGATTTTCAAAAAGGTAAAACAGTTTTTCTTCATTTATTTTTAGCAAAAAAAGTTATTTATTTTATTCAAGAAAATAAACTGAATAAAATGCTAGTAACAGTATTATTAAACTCTAAGTATGTTACGAGTAGTAGAAATTTCATCAATGACTGCTCTAGAGATAGTTTCGGCTGATAAATCGTTTTTAATTTTGACCGTGCCGAACTTACCAAAAAACTTTGAAACAAAAAGTAAACATATATATATATATATATATATATATATATATATATATATATATATATATATATATATATATATATATATATATATATATATATAGTTAGTTAGTTAGTTAATTAAGTAAGTTACACAAAACCACAGCCTTGTTAACCCAGCTAACACAAAACTTACGTTTTGTACGTTTGACGAGCACGTTCTTAAACGTTCGCAGCGTTCGTTGAACGTTTTGTGTTGGCTGGGAAACTCATCATCAGCTGAGTATACGTATCTATACCCAACTCGTATGTCGACCACTTTTGTGTGTCATTTACGGTAAATGACAAGCTGTAGTAACTACGATGAGTGGAAATTGTCCATTAGTTGTTAAAATTTATCAACTGATGTTGCCTCGATGACATTATCTGGCAAAGTCTGAGTCAGTCCAGTCCAATCATAGATTACACAAAGTCAATCCAGTCATTGATTACACGGTTGTTGAAAATCAACCGTGTAGTCAATGACTTATATATATATTTATATGTTTATGAAATATATCTATTTAAATATGAAATATATCTATTAAAATATAGATTTAAATAGATATATTTTATATTTCAAATATATCTATTTTAATACAAACTATATATATATATATATATATATATATATATATATATATATATATATATATATATATATATATATATATATATATATATATATATACATATATATATATATATATATATATATATATATATATATATATATATATATATATATTATATATATATATATATATATATATATACATATATATATATATATATATATATATATATATATATATATATATATATATATATATATATATATATATAGTTTGTATTAAAATAGATATATTTGAAATATAAAATATATCTATTTAAATCTATATTTTAATAGATATATTTTATATTTAAATAGATATATTTCATATTTAAATATATATATTTCATAAACATATAAATATATATATATATATATATATATATATATATATATATATATATATATATATATATATATATATATATATATATATATATATATACCAACTAGGAACAAGTCAGGAGAGAGTATTGTGGTTTATATCCGGCTAATTGTCATATAGAAACCACATACCCGGGCCAGCAAAGACAAGTTCAGCTCACTAAAGAGCAACATCACCCGTTTTGCTGACCTAGAGAAAGTGAGTTTAGGAAGAACGAAGGAATGAGAGAGAAAGCCAGAAGAAGTCAAGTTAGAAAGATAGCAGAGAAAAAGCGGACGGATAATTGCACTAGATATTACAATGTTCAACTTATGAGTGAGTTACCTTAGTTCATATACACTGAATCAATGTTGGGTTATTTATATTGAATTAACGTTGGATTTAGATTATAAAAGCAAATGCGGTTGTTTTACATACGCTGCCCCAATGTATCTGTGCAAGCTTTTTTTAATTGCGTTGGTATTAAGTCTTTTATCTTTATTATTGTCAAAAACATGACATTGGATCAACGATTTGAAAAGACATTGACTATTATTATAAACATGATTTACCCCAAAAATATTTATTATTATAAACAATTACCTGTTTATATAAAATTTTCGCTAAAATTTTTTAAAAAGCTTTCAGATATTTCAAGACATGGTTATTTTACAATTGTGCAAAATTATTTCGATATTATTCAAAATTACTCCGATATTGTTCAAAATTACAATAGAAACGTACATCTGTAGACAGGCATTCATATGTTCTGGTAAAGTCTGATGCTGCCAACATGGCAACTTTGTGATACGCATGACAATAATGTAATTGTAAATCTCCATCCTTACCCTACAGCTTTGAATAGCTTTTCAGAGGAAAAGTAAGTAGCTTGAATAATGGTACTTGACTATGTATTTCCCCAATTTTTTCAAAAGAAAGCAATACTTACAAAAAAATTCCATAAAGACATTCTGAAATCATGATCCTTTAAATTTATGTATATGTTGCTCCGACATAAAGCAATTAACATTCTTACCTTTTTTTAAATACACAGAATAAAAATAATTGTAATTTGGACCAGGAAACCAAATGCATTTAATTATTCAGTATTTATCTTGTTCAATTATCTAACATGTCGTAAATTATCCAATGTCCATAGGCAAACAGCTATCATCTGTTGTAATAAATAACAAATCTCTTTTATTAATTTCACAGGCAGTGTTATTTTTAATTGTAAAATTCACAGATTAGGAAAGAAGAAGAAAAAAAGAGTAAGTTTCATTGTAATTTTATTATTTTCAGCCCCACCAATAAATTGACAATTACATCGTTTTTTAATGACGACGCTGAAGATAAAGGCAAAGCGATAGAACCAGTCTGGTCCTGCATTGGTAGAACTTTAATTCTTTTGACAAAATAGTCATCTAAAGTGCTAGCCAACTTTACCCTGATGGTCATTGGTGGTCAGTGGTGGCCATTGGTAGTCATTGGTAGTCAGTGGTGGTCATTGCAGCTAATGAAATAAAATCTCATTTAAAATAGTAATAAACAAATGTCATTTAAAATAATAATAAACACATTATTGTTTACTAAATAAGAAACTATTTCATAAGAAACTAATTCAGTTTTTTTTTTTCTTTAAAAAAAATATTTTTCATCATATCTTATATAAAAAAACGTGACACTCACTTGGTAAAAAGTTAATACTTTTTCTTTAACATTTTAACCACCAAAAATGGCATCGCGTAATTAAATAATTCTATACGCAATTAACATCAAAATTAAAATATTAAAATTGATATTAAAACGAAATCTATAAGTTTTTTTTTTTATAGTTTTTAAAAATCCCTCTAAAAAAGTCAAACTTTACAAAATTCTTGACAAATTTTTTAAAGAAATAACAAAATACACAATTCTGCAGCTTTTAAACGTTTAAATTTTTAAACATTTATTTTTCAGCAAAAATAAGTTTATAAAAAATATTAATGCATTAGCAAACTATTTTATAGCAATAAATGAAAAAAAATTACTAATACAACTTTTTTAAGAAAGCTATTGTTTGCTTTTTTTTACATTTTAACGTTATGAAAGACAATCGAAGAAAGTTTCTAAATATTTTATTGTTATCAAGGTTAACGCATTCTATAACACGAAAATAAACAAATAACAAAGATAACAAGAAAATAAATAAAATAACAAAGATAACCAAAGAGAAGATTCGATTACTTAACAAAAAAGAACAAAATAAAGTTTCTATTATTAGGTAATTTAAACTTTCTAATAGTTAACTATTAGAAATTTTAAATTACCTAATAATAGAAACTTTATTTTGTTATTTTTTGTTAAGTAATCGAATCTTCTCTTTGGTTATCTTTCTAATAGTTAACTATTAGAAAGTTTAAAATACCTAATAATAGAAACTTTATTTTGTTCTTTTTTGTTAAGTAATCGAATCTTCTCTTTGGTTATCTTTGTTATTTTATTTATTTTCTTGTTATCTTTGTTATTTGTTTATTTTCGTGTTATAGAATGCATTAACCTTGATAACAATAAAATATTTAGAAACTTTCTTCAATTGTCTTTCATAACGTTAAAATGTAAAAAAAAGCAAACAATAGCTTTCTTAAAAAAGTTGTATAAGTAATTTTTTTTCATTTATTGCTATAAAATAGTTTGCTAATGCATTAATATTTTTTATAAACTTATTTTTGCTGAAAAATAAATGTTTAAAAATTTAAACGTTTAAAAGCTGTAGAATTTTGTATTTTGTTATTTCTTTAAAAAATTTGTCAAGAATTTTGTAAAGTTTGACTTTTTTAGAGGGATTTTTACCTAATAGATAGTTACCCCTTCTTTTGTATCCACTCCTGGATACAAGTAACTAAAAAATATTTACAGAAAACAGTTAAAGCTTATATAAAAAAAAGAAAACAGGAGATCATATAATAAGTTGTGGTGTTCCCCTAGAATCTTCAAAGCACTATTATTCTTAATATATATATATATATAAATGATTTATATAAAGTCTTAACAATTTTAAAATTGTATTGTTTTCAGACGACTCAAATCTTTTTGACTCTCACAAACATGAAAGTTTTTTTAAAAAATGTTCAGTAAAAAAAATATATATGAGTTGTTTGTAACTTTCAATAAATGTGAAAAAACTAAAGTTACTTTGTTCTGCATTTCAACTAAAAGTAATAAAATATCTCAATAATTACCAAATCTTTTTTTTTTTTTAATGATAATTTGTTAGTAAGTAATTTTTGATGGTAATTTGTTAATAAGTTTCATATTAAATATATTGAAAGAAAAATCTCAAAGTATGTACCTTTAATAGCATGTAGAACATTTTAACAGCGACATCTTAAAAATAACTTTTTGCTTATTCATAGTTTTATTCATACAATAATTCTTCATATGAAAATACCAATAAAGTATATTATATTTGATAAAAAAAAAAAAAAAAAAAAATCGGTATACCGAGCAAACATGCTTTCGCGGAATTTCACTGAACCTATTTGTAACCTAATTGTAGTTTTGCTCATCGGGTACTTTGTGGACCATTTGTGGCAGCCACCAAAAGTGGCTGGCCGATAAATAGCCACTATTAACATGTCGGAAAGTTATTGGCTGGCCATTGATTATTACAGTTTCCCAATATTAAACATTTGCGTTAGAATATATTTAATTAGATATTAAGATGTTGAAGACACAAGAAACCACAGTAACCACGGTATAGTTGCAACTTTGTAAAATATATATATTGGTGCCTTTTTTTCTCAGCTTTTAAAAAATCAAAAAAATCATTGAAAAATTGTTTGAATTATTTAAATAATTTCTTTTTTCTGTTTTCATTAATCATTAAATAAAAAGAATATAATTCAGTCAAGGCATGACTTGAATGATTTTATTTAAATAAAGTATAAATATTTTATTTAAACAAAATCAGGATAAAAAAAGAGGGCGTTTTAACTAATAAAAAAACTGAATAACTATAAAACTTAAACATTTTTTTTTCTTTTAACCACTGTTTATATTTTTGCATAATTGAGTGGAGTAAGTCCGATTTGTAAAATCATGAGCGCTAACATTACCTGTTCTAAGGGGTGATTCTACGGGGAAGGGGTGTGTGGGGTGACTCCTTGATCTGTTCTTGATACTCAAAGTGTAAAAAGCAAATCTTAAAAAGTTGTGTTTTTTGGCTTTTTTTTGGAAAAAACTCCACTTAACCTGTATATCAATAAATGTATGTCGAGATATGAAGTTAATAATAAAGTTTTAGCACAATTTAATAACCAATTATTATTATTTTATTATTATTGTTTTATTATAGTTTATATATTCTGTCAGTATTGCTGATATCTAAGTATATACCAATATCTATACTATTAATAGAATGGGTTTTGTTTGCAAAGTTAAATCTATTGAATTGTTTTTTATTATAAATGAAAATCAAATCACTGTTATCAAAGGTTACAAACCCTAATATAAACATTTTCAAGATTTTACATTTTACCAACAACAGTAAAAATAAATTTTAATATATTTATTCAAATAAAACATTTACATACATAAGTTTAGCTATAAGCTATATATATATATATATATATATATATATATATATATATATATATATATATATATATATATATATATATATATATATATATATATGTATATATATATATATATATATATATATATATATATATATAGTCTATATATATATATATATATATATATATATATATATATATATATATATATATATATATATATAGTCTATATATATATATATATATATATATATATATATATATATATATATATATATATATATATATATATATATATATATATATATATATATATATATATATATATATATATATATATATATATATATATATATATATATATAGTCTTAATCAAATTTAAATAGTTTTTATTTTGTTAATTTTTTGCTATTCATAATAATGTATCGGCTTCACTTTCATAGCTTTGTTTATGACTATCTTTTCCAAATAGTGTTAATGGCATTCCTATTGTGTTATGTTTACTCACTCCAGGTGAATTATAAGTGCAACTTGTATTTGATTCTATTTGTCTCATTATATAATTCTGGTAATGCGTTTTGCAAAAACAGCTAAAAATTTGAAATAGTTTTTTGTAAATAGCTTTGCGTATGGTTTTGTTTAACATTCCATAAATTATAGGATTAAAAACAATGTTTGAGTAATTTACTACGTTGCTGATCCAAGTTAATTCTCTTGGATGACACCCACCACAAATAAGATTAGATAATGCTATTCCTATAAAACTTACCCAGCAAACTAAAAAGTTGCCAACGAGTAAGAAAATGGTTTTAGCAGCTTTTAAGTTTTTTTGAAAAGAATTTGACTGTTTTCGTAAAGAATTAATTGATAATCTTTGAATTTGTTTTTGGTGTTTATGAGCTAATAAGAACAATGAAAAATACATGCTAACCATTATAAGGACTGGAAGAACAAAGTTAACTGAAATTAGGTAAATTGCAAACTTGTTTGAAAATTCCATTTGACAGACCTTGCCGACAACCTTTATGGCTGACGGTCCATTATAATAGATAGGAAATAAGCCAACATTTATTGTGTAGATCCAGCTAAATGATATTGATATAAATACATTTTTCTTCGAAAAATATTGTATTCTTTTGAATGGAAAGTAAACCGATACAAATCTTTCTAATGTCAGTAAAAAAAGATTAAAAACAGCCGAAGGGAGAGAAAAAATAAACAAAACTTCCTTAATACCGCACAATACTGTTCCATATGGATAGTATCCTCTTAACATGAAGTCAGCGTCAAAAGGCACAACTGCTATTGCAAGAAGCATGTCACCAACCGCCAGATTGATAATGTAAACGTTTGTTATTGTTTGCAAATGTCTTTCAGACAATATAACAAATATGAGAATAGTATTGAATAGAATACTAGCAATTATAATTAAAATAAAGCATGTTGCCAATGGAATCGCGACATCAGGAGGTAATGCTGTAGAAGTAGAAGGTATTGAACTGTTACTAATCGTTATACTTGATACTGTTGAATTATTACTAAGCATTATACTTGGTACTGTTAACCAATAAAAATAATTAAAAGAACAAAATTAAAAACTTTCACACACAAAAAAAAATCTGAATTTACCTGTAAATATTTACACGATGTTTGAATGTGATTTTTTTTTGAACAAACTTTATTTAAATAAATTATAATATTTCCTAAGTGTGCGGGTGTCTCATAAATGTGCTTAAAGGTTAATTACTACTCTATCAATACAATAGAGTATCAATACAATTTTTAGATATCAATACAATTTTTACAAGAGTAATTTTGAAAGCTCAAATAATATGATGTATAATGAAATGCTTTGAAAGGTAGCAAACAGTTTTGAATAATTAATTTTAGTGGCCATATGATGAATATGTAACAAAGAAGTTCCATTGCTAAACTTTTTTCTTTTTCGTGAATACAAAGTATAAAAATTTGCATTTTTAAACAGCTTATCTATTTATATTCAATATCTTATTCAAATTATTTTTCAATACCTAAGTTTCTTTTTCAATAGTTAAGTTTTACACTTTTTTTTTTTTTGGTCTCCAATACTTAATTTTTTTTTGGGCTAATTATTGATTTTTTTTTGTCGCTAATTATTTACTTTCTTTGTCGCTAATTATTTACTTTCTTTGTCGCTAATTATGTTATTTCTTTGTCGCTAATTATGCTCTTTCTTCCTCGCTAATTATTAATTTTCTTTGTCGCTTATTATTCACTTTCTTTTTAAGTAACTGTTTGCTTAAAAATACTTATATAGTATAGATGTCTTTACGTTTTTGAAATATTATAAAAATAGAAGTGTATAGATTTTATATAGCTATATACATTACTAAAATAGCTAAATACAAACAATATATAAAAATTAAAAGTTATGTGCTTTATTAAAACTTTAGAGTTATTTAGAAATTTTTATTTTTATCTTTAATTTTATTTGTTTTATTTTTGCTCTTTACTCAAATTTTAAAAATGACGTGTACAACATAAACACGACATGTATGACGTGTACATCATAAACGACATGTATGACTTGTTCAACATAAACGACATGTATAACTTGTACAACATAAACGACATGTATTACGTCTATACGTGTATGGCATGTACACGACACGTACGACACGTATAGTGTAAAGCATGTATGATTTGTGTAAATGTAGATTTAGAGATTTTCAATGCAAAGTTAGTAGACATGTAAGCTAAGTAGACATTATTATTTCATGTAAGACTCTTCTAAACTCTGAGTAAATAAACAATGAGTGATTGTACATATAAAAATATAAATAAAAAATAAAAAAATAAAAATATTTAACAACTATAAAATACAGGAAACATTTTATTAATAATAAAAATATGTCAAATTAATCGCTTACTACAAAAATACTTTTAAAAACTGATCTGTTACCAAAATTTATTTCTTAATAAAAATTGTATCTGAACGAAAAACTTGTAATAGAAAAATAAGTAGTGAAAGAAGTTCTAAATTACTATTTATACGCTCACCATGTTGCTATTATGTTACAGAAAAAATATTTTTTCAAAGGAGTAAGAACAGAATGTCGAAAATTTATTAAACTGCTATTTGATGCTATTATGTTTAATAAAGAAATGGGTATTGCTACAATTTTAGGTAAAAAGAAATATTATATAGAATTATGTAACACAAATACAATCTATATAGGTTATATTCTAGCTTAATTTTTTAAATACAAATGTACATAAATAATTAAAACGTTTGAATTATTTATTTTTTAATTCAAAATATAGGAAGTCTAAAGGATAATTTCTTTACAAAAAGTGTACCTAATGCTTAAAATTTTCGAAACCAGTTTTAATTAATTGATAAATATTATCTGAATTTTGTGATACAATAAAGTTTGTTACTTTATAAAAACAAATAGAAATAAAAAGAATACAAATAGTGTAATAAAATAAATAAATAGAAACCAAATAGTGAAAGTGACGTTTATAACTGTTTTATAATTATATAAGTATAACTTTCTAGAAGTTTTATTTCCTGGTGGTCAAGTAAATGAATTTTCATTTCATTTTTTCTCAATAGAAAAATTTCAAAAAATTAATTGCATTTGCGTCAACCTCAATAAAAAAAAGAAAACTATAATCTTCCTTTAGAAAAAAGTGTCATTACAGACTTTTATTGTTGATTATTTGATTAAAATATTAAATTTAAAGGTTTTAAATAATTAAAATAATCTAAAAAAGATAACTAAATAGTTTTTTCAATAAAATATTCATTTAAAGAAGTCAGTGTAATGTAGCGCCCATTCTAAATGCGTTTAATTAGAAGGAGGGTTCTCATCGTAGGGAGGTTGTTTGGCGCCCAGAGTCAAAACAGCGTTTTGTCTTAGAATGAGAACTTTGAGACAAATAAAAAAAAAATAAATAAACGAGAGAATAACGAACTGAAAAGTTATAGACTGACAAAAAAGCAGTCAAAAAAAAAGAGCAGAAATAAAAAACAAAGTTTGTTTTAGTTTTCATTTTTGACTTTATATATAACAAAATTATCTTTTTTAACAAGCTTTAAAACGTTTTTTTTTTCATTTCTCTTTGGTACTTATTTGATATTTGTTTTCTTTTACCGGCAACTTATGTCTTTAAATCTTCTTTTTTCTCCTCAGTTTATAGAAAATGAGATAAAAGTTGCAACAGCTCGATGAGCTCGATATCCTACTAAAATATTTGTAGTTATCTACAAGTTTTTTTTTCTTGGGAGGTTTTGCTAATTTTCTGATGAAACATCCTGTAAAAGAGAGTTTATAATGGTGCGTAAACAGGGTGTATACACTGATATATTGTTAATACAAATAATCTTTGTAAACACACGTATACAAACGTTTATGCAATATTGATAATTTTCACTTTTTATGTTTAAATAAGCTATCTATGTGTATGTTAACATTGAAAAAATTTTATGATTACATTGGTTCTTTAATAAAAAACTTTTTTGTTTGAAATTAAATGAATTTAAGATGAGATCAAATATTATAATTTTTGACTCATTTTTTTGAACATATATTTTAAATAAATTAAGATTGGGAAATCAGGGGAATTTTTTTAATATTAGAAAATTAATAGAAAGCCAAAAAGTTGAATTTGATGAAATTGAATTTGACAAGAAATATCACTCAAAACATAGACAAGGGATATATTTCTGTTAATTAAGAACAAAACATGTACTCTACTAGTACCTGATCATGGTTTTAATATAGAAATCTCCAATCCATCTAGCATTTATGGGTCTTGTGTTAAAATTTTTTTTAAAGAAGGTAAACAAAATCACTTAATTAATTTTTAATATTAAAAGTTTTAAAGAAAGATTTGAGTGGTAATAAATCAGTGGAAAACGAAAAAAAGTTTTTTTAACAAAAACTGAGAATAATAGGTTTTGCAGATAGATTATTGTTCGATGTGAACGCAAGAAAACTGAAAACGTGTTTTAATATAAAACTAGTTTTCCTTTAAAACAAGTCTGGTTTAAAATAGCATTTAGTGTGAATCAGTGGAAAAGTCCTGTAAAAAAGAAACGTTTGTTTTACCAAAAACTGGGAAGAATCAGTGGCGGATTGAGGTTTACTGTCGTGTTTGTGTTGTGGAGGAGGTTTAGTGTAAAGTTTGAGTTTATATTAATTTACTTTGGTTTACAATTATCGTTAATAAAAATAATTTAAAGGTATATTTACACAATACATATTACTGAAAACAAGCATTACGAAAGAAACTTACTCTCCTGCTAGTTTATACAATTTTTTTCTGCAAAATTTTATTTCCAGCGGGTACAGAACGTTCGTTGAAAGTCTTAAGAACATCATAAGGGCTTGTGACGTTTATGAGGCGTTGTATAGACGTCATACGGACGACTGTGTCGCTGGACCGAAACAAAATGATTGTCAATGCTCTCAGCAAGTTCAATTAAAATTAATATCAATGCAAAAAAACCTTGTTTTGTCAATGATGATCACAGATAACTTTTGATCTTTAGTCTACTGAAAATCCCGCATCATATTTCTCTATTAGGACGGATGTGCGCGTTTATTTATATTTCAGTTGTCATTGCTGGAGATATTAATGCATACACATTTTTAAAAAAGGGCCGGCGCATGTGGGTTTCAATTGGGGAGACGGTGCCATACGGGTTTTTCCCAAAAATACTTTTAACGTATAAAAACAAATGTAAATTGCTTCAAAATGTTAAATTCAGTTAAAACTTTTTTTTTTTTTTTTTATAAGACACAGTTGCTTTGATACACCAAACTATGTTAAAAATCCATTGAATGTGTACATTATTATTATAAGAGATATTTTCTTAAAACAAAACGTCTCTGTTTTCAGAAATAATTACGAGGAAATTTGTAAAACAGGTATGTAAACAGTTAACTAGTCTTCTATTTCCATTTAAATAGATGCAGAATTTTGTTATTAGAAATTTATATTTTAGGGGGCGCCAGTTAACTGACTTATGGAGCTCGAAAGAGGGGGTTGGAGGTAGGCATTTAACACACCCTCCCACCTCCACGTCTTATGCTGAATCCGCCACTAAGAAGAATAGATTTTGTAGATAGGGGAGAACCTTAATGAATGGGACAATTATTGAATAGGACAAAATCAAATTTGCATAGAAGCATCTACGGTTGGCTATCCAAACTCCTGTGGTAATAAGTGTTTGACACAACCATTCAACAGACCAAATCTTTATTTCTATTATGGTCTAAACGTAATGGCATTGGATGTTATTGTGTTTTGAAGAACAATAAGTAATTTTTAAAAACAATTTTCTGTGTCTGATTTTGCAGCGATTACTAAAGTTAAGGAAAATGAAACTCCAATTTTCAACACCCAAATGTCTCTACTTTTTAAATTTGTAAAGTATTTTTGTTTAGGTATTACTGTTTTTAACCTGTCCTGTCATTTGTGGATATAGTGGGAAGCCTATTGAATGGGACAAAGTATTGATTATTGAATGGGACTTGTCCAAACAGCCTGATATGAAAAAAGTAGAAAAATATATTTCGGCAACTTAGTTATGGTCACACATAATTTTATTTTTAATAAAATTTTTTGTTTTACTAAAAACAATTATTCGTGTTTTTAATTTAATTTTAATATACATATATTTTTTAATAAAACTATTTTAGGTTTGTCAATATATGCAGACATTCGGCCATATTTATAGCTTTTTCGGGTTCCCTAATGGTAGAAACTA